TTTACACTTTCTACTTTATATTTGTATATTAAGTATATATTTCTTGGGGGGGAATCGTCCGGGGGGGAATTGTCCTGGGGGAGAATTGTCCGGGGGGAATAGTCTGGGGGGTAATTGTCTGGGGGGGGAATTGTCCTAGAATCATATATAGTACAATTATAACACAGTTTTCAGTACTGGTAAAGCATTTTTGTTAATCATATTTTAATAGAAAGGTTATTTTGTGGTACTGCAGCCATTTTTCCTTCAGTTTTGTACTAATTTTTGATACAGAAGATAACAGATCAGAGACTGATTTTATTATCATGCTCAGAAGAAATCACTGTGATACGTCTTTGAACTTACAGATAAAATCCTACAGATTTATTTAGAAATCCAGGTTTTTAGGTTTTGCATTTATGTCTGCAATATATGGCTGTATGCCATCAGTGCTTGCATTTTTGGGGTTTGTTTAAAATCCACTTCTAACTCTCTGAATTGAAAGTTTTAAATTATTAAATGGTTACTAGCTTGATACTTGTGTTTATAGTAGCGCTAATTAAGTACAGTGAATATATATTATTTAAAATTTTGTATTTAAGTACATCATTGTATTTTGCTTATGATTTTGAGATTGTAGGCAACATATTTGCACAAAACCCCATGTTTTTATGTTATATTTTATTTCTTCTTTTGTTATAAGTTTAGATTTACTAATCTATATTTACAAAATATTGGAATATCATAAAATTGGATCAGAGCACAGATGAACAAAAAATCCCAAATAATAATATTGTTATTAGCAGTGTTAACAGTTTATAATTGACGAAATGTTAATAAAGCCCTTTGAAAATTACACATTGTATTTCATAACATTTCATTATTTTTCTAGAAAAAGTATGTTATTGAGCAGGTGATTAATCAGCTGCTTTCTATTTAGCATTTATTAATTTTTTTCATACATAATTCCCTTAAGTTATTGCACTTCATTAATGCACATCTCACACTGCCAGTAACATAATACCAAAGCAGTGGTGGATGTAGGGGGGTCCTGACCCCTTCCCCCCTTCAATTTCTGAAAAAATCACACCAATGGTCCTCTCTTGAAATTAGAATTTTGACTGGCTGAATCATAGTTCTAAACCGTACCAAATGGCACTGTTAGCCCTATAAAATACCAACATATATTTGGGGGCCCTCCAGTGGGCACTGAATACCATGCCAAGGGGAGGGGGGGGTCGACTTCACATCCACCGACCCTCCTCCCCCCCCCCTTTCAAATAATCCTGGATCTTCCCCTGCAAAGTTTCTGAAGAAAAATTATCCCTTGCTTGAAAATCTTTTGATCACGCATCGTTTTCTTTCATCAAAATAGCACACCAATTACCCTTATCATAATATGACTCCACTATACGGACCTTTGGAATTTTCTGACACAAAACCTCCAACTCTCCTTCTTCAAACACATGATAATATCTATGAAATAGTTTACTGTCTCCCACTGTTGTTTGGTCTCTTTTCTCCTTCTCTTTAAGATGCCATGGCACTAGCAAATCAGGCTGCTCAAATTTGGTCCTATTCACGTGAACCACCAGGATTTTTTGACTTATTGCACCGCTCTCTGTGCGACAGTTCATTTCCCCAACCTTCACCTGGTGTGGTTTTTCACTAGAATTGCTCTCATTCACGGAGGAATCCCTACTTTCCTGCCCAGCAGCAGTTTTAGTGCTTGTTTGACTTCGATTTTCCTGACAACAGCCAGCAAGAGTACCAACACCTTGAGTATCTGGACCAGAAACTTTCTGGACAACTTGGCTGCCATTTTCTACAACTACAGTCTCATTGTTTTCAACTTCAGAATCTGATTGTTGACCTCTCTGTTTCATTTTTATTTCCTTCAAGTAGTTGGACTTCACTTTATGGAGCTCCTGCTCAAGAGCCCAGACATAGAACAGAGCTTTCCCACCAGGGTGCAGCACCCGTAAGACTTCTTGTATGGCGTGTTGTCTTCTCTCCTGCAATGGTGAATGCAGACAGAAAATGTTTTGATCACGCAAAGAAAAGAGACCAAACAACATTTGTATTTTTCTTTATAATCCATGCCCTGTGTTTTGTTTGCAATTCTTTATTTAAATAATAATCTACAAAATGTCACATACCGTGAAGCAATTGTCACAGGCAAGGTACAAATGTACATGTATGTGCCCCATTTATCTTAAGCAAAGAGACTTTTTTAATGAACCACACCAGAATATTTAATAACCCCAACAGGCACATTTTTTCAAAATTCAGTGTTTCTCCTGGCTAAAGAAGAAATGAGATGGTTAAATTTTACTTGATTACTTAAATTATGTGTTCTGCAGTCCAAGCATACATAGTGCAATGCACCGGAAGATTAAAAAATGAAAACTAGAAAAGCACTCCAAGAGCGCAGACCTTAGCCAAGGCAGCGACCTTTGATTATTATTGATTATTGATTGATTATTGATCTGGATCAACACCAAAAACTAATCATCTCTTCCTTGGCCCACTTCTGACAGTTCCTGAAAATTTCATCAAAATTGGTCCATAACTTTTTGAGTTATGTTGATGACAGACAAACGGGGGGTGAAAACATAACCTCCTTGGTGGAGGTAATGAATACAAGAGACCAACTTTCAATACTGATGACACAGAAATCACAAACACTTGACAATGGCAATCCCAGGAATTAACCATCATAAAGGCACAAATTGGGTAAACAGTGTGTGTTTGAACATGTGTGTGAGCACGCATGTAAGTGTATGGGGGTGGGGTTGAAAGGTTTTGATGGTCACACTTTTTCAAAGCCTCATTTCTTTTGCATAAAAAAAGATTGCAGCTAAGCTTAAGAAATAGGGGTCTGGATCCAACCCATCTCTGCTCCATAAACTGAAGTGTTTTATTACCTGTGTTGACATGTGGTGTACCACAGCTATACTAATACAGGCATCAACAACTCCATCCCTTAGTGGTACAGAGAGAGCATCACACACAAAAACCTCATGGCCCCTCTCCTCACAGATTTTGACTAAGTTGAAGCTTCTGTCACAACCAATCTGTGAATTAAAATGCATCACTTAAATCACTAATATTTCAATATTAAATGTGTATGCATTAGAGAAAATGTCAGTATACACTATGTCTAATTTTCTTTTACTTATTGTTTTTTAAAAATTAAATATGAGTAAATATTCATTTATTTAAAAAAAACTTGTCAGACATTTCCTTACTGAAAAAATATTTTTGTTGATCCCCAAGTATTTTCCATTGCCACATCCGATGTCTGCAAGCAAAGCACCATCTGGTAGTGATGTTAGAAACTCCACTACCCGTGGCCAGGGAGTGTGCCTTGTTCCACTGAAGTGGCCAGCAATTTCTTCATACACCTTTGTTAAGAAATAATTGTTTTGGCTGATGTTAAGTTCATCTGTGCCAACAGATTTACATAATGTTAATGACAAGATAACATTTAGTAAACTTTGGATAAAAGTTTTGTCATGTTGGCTGTGTCTTTTCTGGTTTAGTGGTAAATGTGAACAGAAAACACTTCAAAATGTTTCAAGCAAAGGTTGATATTTCTATGGATGAAATATTATGAATTTTGCACCTCTAAGTAATTCTGTTACATCAAATCAATTATAAAAAGCCATGGAAGTAATGAAAAATATGTACGTTGTCATAATTTGTTTTTTTCATTCCTACCTCATGAACATGTTTGTTTTCAAGTTGAGCTGCTTCTTGCTCTGATTTTGGCAACAAAATATTTTCTTGGCTGGATTTCTTTTGGGAATCACACTGCTCTGGGAATTCTTCAAAACAAATAATCAAAATAAATGTATTAAATAAAGTTCATATTGGTGAAGTTATAAAACTGTTGAAGTTCAAGCTGTGACTGAAAGTATGTCAGGTCCTGTAAGAGCTTTTGTCCTAGCCTTAGGACTTCATCAGTCACAAAAGCTTTTACAGATATGCTTTTAATCACAGTGTTAAAACTTGACCAATATGAACATGACTACGCAGATAAAATTCCATCAGAATGAAATAAAGTTTTATGAATTCTGAGTGTAACTTTTTACAACAGCATATAATATTATTCTCTACAAAAACGAGTCACATTACTAAGGAAAAACAGCTGCATACACACAGTATTTTTTCATTCATTTTCAATATTTAATTAAATGAAGGATGTCATTTATCTCTCAATTCAGTACCAAGATACAAACTACAGGCCTAGCAGACAAAAATATATATTAAGTTTATGAAAAAGTTTTCAAGTCTATTAAAATTTCTTACAAAAACTATTCAATGTCTTAACAGTAACTACTGTTGCATCTTTTTATGCTGACTCACAGTGTATTCTCATATAGACAAGACACCTATCAATAATTGGAAGTAAGTAAAACCTTTGTATGAGAATTGTTCTAGGAATATATGTACATGTCATTGAATAAAAATACCCACTACATTGACATGGTCCACTTCTGGTCTTTCTGAATGTAAATGATGTTCTGACTCCTCTGGAGACCAGAGTGAGGGAATCTTGACTCCCCTCAGTAGATGATGCTGTGAATTTCAATATATGTCATGGATTAAGAGAGCAGTGACATTACATCCATGTTAAATAGAGTCTTTCATACAATCATGAAACAAATTTTCCAAAATCCTCTTTCTGCATTGCATATTTGTGGGCAGTTTATTGATAACAATTTAAAAATCGACATTTAAGGGAAAATGCGCTTTAGGATTAATAACAATGGTTAACACTTTAGGGTTAATAAAACAAATGCATTGCACACCACTAATGTGAACTTCTATTTCATTATTTTCATTCACTTACAATACTCAAATGCAAATAATTGAATTAACCACATAATGATCAGCAATAATGATAATGCTTCTCACCATATCAAAATTGGAAATTTCATGCAGGAATAGACTACAGAACTCCTACTTGTAACACATACATTCATTGAATGCCTCTAAACAAAATCGTGGTCTCAGTTATCACACTCTTAGTGCTGAAAAATGGCCAGAAATTGTCTATATATTACCTAAACTGGTTGTGTTATTATCTCCACAACACAGATAACCTACCAGATACCACATCAGCCTTCCTTGGTGTAATCCCATGTGTCCACAAGTACCTGGACTCTCCAGTCATTATGATTACACTACGGGGTTGCAACACCACGGGAAGATGGCGGCCATCTGGGTGGCGAAAATCCATCACTGCCTGTGTAAAGTAATAGCAGAATGATCTTAGATAAAAGACAATCAAGTCATTATTATTAATATCTTTTTAAAATCAAGACATTATTAACAATATCCTTGTAAAATGGGGTTATTTATTTTGGTAAATACACTGGAAATCATCCAAAGAGTTTAACCAACAGATATTTACCCAACCACTGTTAGTTATGTTAAACAAAGACTGCCTCACCTGTGATCCCAAGCTTAGCGATATGAGGCCATCTTCAAATGGGGAGTGGGTATCAACATGGGGAGGGATACCTGTAATGTAATTAGTAGTAGTTAAAAGTTCTCCTTTGCATTTTTCTAATCCCTTTTTTAATCTTATTATGACCAGTGATTTAAAAAAATTAGTTGTTTCTTTTTGTCAAAATCACTAAATCTCATATTACACAAATATAACACACCCATGTGTGTGTCAGAAGAGTACATACCCATGCTTTGTACAATACAAATGATCAACGTAGTCAGTTATTTTCAGTCAAGAATTATTGATAAAAAGAGTCCACCACAAACCTTGTCCTGGCTCATACTGATTAATGGTCAGTTGGTCTGGACGCTGCTGAATATACCCCTTTGCCATTAGTTTATCTAGCAAACCATCGCATACAGTGGGAATGCCCCCTTCCAATGGTTTCTCTAAATCAACATTGTTGGGTCCATAAATGAATTCAAATCCATAGTGTTTGACTTTTCTGTGCTTGAGTGTCTTTTGGGCTGTAAATGATAGTATTCAATATAAAAAAAACTTACTGTACAATTTCCTCGTGACTTTGACGGTCATGTCAAGACAACTTTTTTGTGACTTCTGTAGACAAAGGTTTATGAAAATTATTTACTGAGCTTCATGGATCTCACTATCTGTACATATCAATTAAGGTAAGGGGTTTTCCATAAAAAAAGTACATTAGAAACGCACTAAAAGAAAAACACGAAAAAAAACAAAAACAAGTGCATCATGTCAAGAACCCATTACATTCTGAAAAGAAGGAGACACAAATGATTTAAGATTGAACTGACATACTCAGTTCTGTATTTTCAAAATTACCCTCCATTGCAAAAATAAAAATTAGAATAACTAGGGATCAAAATTAATTAAATGAAATACTAATAATAATCCAGAATTTATCCAACTCTTACTGTCAGCACAATCTGCATCTTGTGTTTTAAAGAATTCTAGGAAATCCTGTTCTTCTTCCTCTATGATAAACTCCTCCAGGTATATTAAACCAGGGGGTAGTGCACTGCCAATGGATATTGGAGGGGGGACTGGAAGTCAATGTGAAAATGTGACTAACTATTGGTATATTAGGAGTTAAGGACTGAAGTCTATTATACTAAGAAATCTATATTTGCAACTGACACACACAATTTCAGATCAGTTGCTAAAACACCCATTAATTTTACTAGTACATTTTAATAGAGAATTTATAAACTTGTCCCTTCAAACTGATGTTTTATTATAATTTTAAGAGCTGGGACTTCATGATATTAGTATTTTCTGAGTACGTAGAGATAACAGGTGCTTTTTGCACTGCTTATCTATATGCTAATCTACCACATATACTGAGTACATGCCTAGCTGTTGTACTCAATCTTTGTGAACATATAGTTTATTATAGGCTATAAAAATTAAAATGTCACATGAAACAACTGGATAACCAAGTAAAGTGGCCCTTGTTTACCTTTTTCCATGAAGGAGATATAAAAAGTGATTCCTGGGGTAGAGATTTCTTCTGGGCATTTCAACTTTCTACCATGCATTGCTTGACATGCGGCAACTGCAGCGTCCACTGAAGTGTATTCCACAAATGCATATGGTTTCTCAGGTAACATCACAATGTCTGCTATTTCCCCAAACCAATTAAAGATAGAGTCCACATCATCTCTGCTGACTCCATTCCCAAGACCTGCATTGGCCACAAAAAGATGCTGAAAGAAACATATTGCTATGTAATGCTCACTCAACTTTCCTCACATGATATGCAAGTAAAAAAAAAAAAAAATAATAATAAAAACTATTAGGATAAAAAAGCAATAAAATTAAAAACAAACCATAACACTTGTTCAAACATTATCATGAAACAGATCTACCGGTATCTTATGAGTTATGGGAGACACTCACTTGAGCACAACAAATTGAAATTACTAGGCATAAACCGGGCATATACTCTTAAATCTGCATAATTGTGATGTTTATTCTTTCTAGGATATTGGCTACACTAAAAATTATGACATGCAATTGTGATGTGAGTTCTTTTACGAAAAGTCAGGTTAAACGTTCCAACGACCACGGTTTGCCCCGTTCAAACGCTGAAAACATTCTTTTACAAGTTCTTGCCGTGGCTTTTGGTCCATTTAATAATAAATCAACTTAAAAATGACATATTTTATTATTTACTTTAGAAGGTGTACTCGAAGTTTCAATCCCTTCATGTTTTAAAAGCGTATGCTTTGATTTGACTTGTTTGCGTAGTGCTTTTCTCTCTGCTTTGGTCATTTTCTCGCCGCGAACGGGCGCAGACATCTTGGAACTTACTCTCCAACTCATGGAATGTTTCAAATAGTGAGCATGATTGTAATGGCCTATCATTTGATTATAATTTTCAATGTACATATTTTGAATAATTCATTTTTATAAAAAGTGTCATTAAAGAAGCATTTGATGTCTTATTAAAGCGTTATATTGGCTATACATTGGATTAGCAAGAGACTAACATACGGGCAGTTATTGAAGAAAATGGCGACGTGCCTTACTCTCGAGTTGTGTAAAAACTGGGAGAAAAACGGTAAAATCGAATTGTAAGTACTCTTTCTAAAACTTTACTATGTTGTGCAAGTGTAAGCACGTATATATTTCATTACATTTATCGTGTTGCAAGTGATGTTGGCCCTTTGATTGAATGAAAATTTAGAAAATATTTTGGCCAAGATGCGGTGATAAAAGTCGGTTCAGCCGGCGTTTTTTCTAAACCTAAGTATTCATAATTAAATGAAGTCGATATAAAGTTTTTAGCTTGTAATAAACGTTCTTTCAAGGAACTTTCTGTAAACTTTAGAACTTTTTTGAAATATGTTTTGATTTCAAAAGATAGGCAATCAACTCTAATCAAATGCAGAGCAAGATTTGACCTTCAACACAAATAAGGTCAAATGTGCTGGACCCGCTATTTCAGTTAGAGAAGTAAAGAAGTGTGTCCAATCATGAAATAAGTTTATCTCTTTTGTTTTACAGTCAGAAGTTATGCAAGTCTACCCTGAGAGCAGATGGCAGCCTGGTTGGAGCAAGAGAAGGGAAGAAAATCCTGTATGACCTGTGTTGGCAAGTTCTCATTGGGAATCTCAAGCAAGACCAAGCAGTTGCCGTACTGCTTGAAATCAAGGTGGGTAGGAGAACAAAAGGATAATGTGACTACTTTTATGTTGGTTAGATAAATGGTAGCTTCATTTCCTTTGTTCTTGTGTATGAAGAATTTAATGAGCTATTTTATTTTATGGAATTATCAGCATATTTTTAACGTACATGATAATGCAAGCAAAAGTCATTAATGATCTAAGTAAAATAATAAATAGGTAAATGATTAAACACAAGAAAGAAATGGAATGATCACAAGAAATTACAGAATGATATTCAATTTTAGGTTAAAAGGAACATGTTTTACAGATGATTTTTATTTTATTTCTTACAGGATCTGCATGAAGAGCTACCATCACTTCTGGCAGACATCTTTTCAATAATCGGTATGGGGTGAAGTATTATAGAGCATACTCCTTTTTCTCACCACACAGTCGTGAGCTGTGCAGTTATGAGTTAAAGCTGCCTGGGCGCGTTCCTACTGGAAAGATCCCACAATTAGGTTGCAGCAGTGGCGCCATCTATCTGTGGTTTGGGAAAATGGCATGGGTAATATTGTTATCCACCTGTTGGTCACTGTTTCGAAGAGAGGGATAACGAAGGATATGAAAGAAATGGAAGGTCTTGATGGTGCCTTTGTGGTAGTGAAATAAGGCAGAATCAAGATGGTTGCCATAGATGTGGAGGTTATGAATGTAGTGAATAGGAAATTCATTTGATTCCTATAAGGATCATGAGCATTCATTTAAAACTTTCTTTTTGAAGCATTTCCAGTGTATATTCCATCTTCTGTCAAATGGATGCTGTTTTGTAAAATCCAGCATATGTTCCAGCAGTTGTTGAAAAATGTTGCCATTTATTGCAAGCTGCACCATGTTTCAAAGCCCCATCGCTAATCAATTGATCCTTATATATGCTTGTTTTGTTGGAATGTTCCTGAAGTTGGACTGAATCAACACTGCCGTCGTCAAATGTTTTACAGCAATATTCTTGACAAGGTGATTGAAGATGGACTGGAAATTTAAAAGATATCATTTTTTTCAAGGAAGTTGACACCAAAGTAAAAGTCGTACAACTTCAGAGAAAACTCAAGATAGAACCAGGAGAAAAGAACTACTGTTGTTTGCAAAATTTATATTTTAAGGCACTGAAGGGCGCATAAATATAGTGGTTGGGCGATGCTGAAACTAAGCTGAAGAAATGGAAGAGATTTTTTGAAGACTGAATAACATGTTCATGAGACCTTTGTTGGTCTCTGTTAAACATTTTGAAATATAGATACTTTCTTGAACAGGTTTGTGGATATCTATTGTTTGGACAATAAACTGAAGTGCAATGGGCATGCCATTTTGATCACTATACATTTCTATGAGACTGCCTGTAATCTTAACAATGGACTCCAACCAGATACTAGTGAAATGGGAGCCTGGGCAGTACAATTTTGAAAATTGTCTTCATCTGCTAGCCCCCGCTGCTTCTGCTATGGGCTAGTAGACTCTTAAACCCTGGAGGACCAGAGCTGAGAGAA